AGAGGATGGGTACATCAGCTAGTGAACAAATATTTTTCCAGTTTTGTTGCCTATTATACATTTCATTGTATACTTTCATTTCATAAACTAACAACATTATGTTATACTTTGTTACTAAGCAACATGACATAAAAGTTATTGTTGGAACGTAGTGTTACCAAAACGCACAGGCTTTTCTATATATTAGAAGTTGTTAATCTAACTGATTTTTTACCAATAATTATACTATGAATACGCCACGAATTCATTTCATGGATGATCTTAATTTTGATTGGCTCACAAAGGAATTTACCGACGTTTTACTGCCTCGACTGCGGTTTTCTGGATTTCACAAAATTTATATATTTCAGTTAGCTATGAAATGTGAGGTTAGGGTATACTGTCGAGTGGGATGGTAATACCTGCCCTGTCATTTTTGATGGGCTATACGCTAGTAACACATAACACACATAAAACAATATTCTTCACTGTTAAGAACTACATACAAACTGTAAGAACTTAAATTTTTATCAATTTTTAATTTTAAAAAAGTTTTTTTTTCTTTTTGTCGTTAAGCGCAAAGCTACACACTAGAGTGACTAGACTATTTGTGTACCGTGCTGCGACGAGTTTCGAAACCCGATTTGTAGCGTTAGAAGCCCTCAGACTTACCACTGAAGTATCGGGGATGGGAGGGTGAGATAGAGAAAAATATTAGCGTACTGGAAATATTTGTTTGTTTCATGAGATACAGACAAATTCGTCACGCAGAATCTATTCCTTCACCGAAACACTTCGTAATAATAGGCTTTGATTTATTAATTTTAAAAACGTTAACTAAATATATTAAGTTAAGCATGCACTACCATTAAGATACGAAAGTCAATAGCCAAACTAAATATGAGTTAACTATGGCAATTTTAATCCATATCGTACGCAAATTTAAAAACTTAGAATCTAGTGTTACGCTTCCGTTCGTTGGTTAATTTTCAGTATAATTTCTTTCCGAAGAAACTTTACCGATACAAGTCCTTTCTTAAATAAAACCGGTTTATTCTTTCTGAATACAACTTTGCGATACCCTTAATTTCCACAGTCGCGCTATAACAAACGCTATAATTCACAACGAACGTCTCACGTGCTCAACAATACGTCTCTCTCTCGGTCCGCAGTTCAATTACACATTGTTCCCGTCGCTTCTTGGCCGGTCTTATATATACAAGACTACCCCATATCTAGTAGTCTCCCGACGCTTCAC